GCGGCGCTTGCCGCACCGCCTGCTCGTCCTGGCCTTCATGTGCTTCCTGGGCTTCGGTGCGTGCTGGGGTGCGGGCTCTGGGGGTTTGGGGTGCTCAGATTTTGGGTGCTCGGGTTTGGAGTGTTAGGCTGTGAGGAGCTCGGTTTGGCGTTGGCAGGTCCGGGATGCTGAGGTGCGGGGAACTTGAGTTTGGGGTGCGGGGTGCCAGGGTTTAGGGTGCTTGGGGGTGGTGAGCTTGGGTTTGGGCTTCTGGGGTCAGGGGTGCTCGGGTGTGGGGCGATCAGTTTGGGGTGCTGGGGTGTGTGTGCGCTGATCTGGGGTGATTGGCTTTGGGGTCCGGGATGCTGGGATTTGAGGTGCTGGAGTGTGGGTGTTTGGGTCTAAGGTGCTGCAGTTTGGGGGTGCTCGAGTTTGGAGTGCTCAGGTTTGGGTTGTTGGGTCCTCGGTGTTAGGGTTTTAGGGTGCTGGGATTTGGGGTGCTGGGGTTTGGGTTGTCAGGTCCAAGGTGTTCTGGTGTGGGGTGTTTCGGTGTGGGGTGCTGGGCTTTGGGAATGCTGAGGTTTAGGGTGGTGGTGTTTGGGGTGGTGGTGTTTGGGGTGCTGGGGTGTGGGGTGCTCAGTTTAGGGTACTGGGATGTGAGGATTTGAGGTTGGGGTATGGGGTTTCAAGTCCAGGGTTTTGGGTTTGGGATGTTCATGTGTGGGGTGCTCGGGTCAAGGGTGCTGAGGTCTGGGATGCTGGGGTTTGTGTTGTCAGGTTTGGGGTGCTGGGGCAGAGCCTTGAGCCACTTCCTTCTCCTTGCAGGCAGCTATTTCTGCTATGACAACCCAGCAGCTCTTCAAACACAGGTCCAGCGGGTGAGTGGCTGCCTGAGGCCTCCCTGGGCCTAAAAGGAGCTTGTAAAAATGAGAAAGAGTGACCCTGGAGGGACAGGCCTAGGGGGAATGGCTTCCCACTGCCGCAAGGCAGGGTTGGATGGGATCTGGAGAAGGAATTGTTCCCTCTGTGGGTTGTGAGGCACTGGCACAGATTGTCCAGAGCAGCTGTGACTACCCCATCCCTGGGAATGTTCCAGGCCAGGTTGGATGGCGCTTGGATCAACCTGGGCTTGTGGAAGGTGTTCCTGGGGTTGGAATGCAATGGACATTAAGGTCCTTTCAGCCCAAACCACTCTGTGATCCTATGAAGTGCAGTCAGTGGCCAGATCACAAAGTGCACTTGTTTCTACATGGTTCTACTTGGATACTTTGTGTCCCACAATTCCCATAGGAGTAACTACTTTTATCCATTCCCCTTCCGTTCTGTAGGACATGAAGGTGAACACAGCCCAGTTCATGGCACTCTATGCCTGGTATTCCTGGCCCAATGTGGTTCTTTGCTTCTTTGGAGGTTTCCTGATAGACAGAGTGTTTGGAGTTCGGTAAGTGCAATGTTAGTGTCACTCATGTTCAGTGAATGCTAAACTAAAAGTGCACATGAAATTTAGGCTTTATAATATATATGTAATATAAAGTTTATTCAAGTTACAATAAACTTTTTCTAATATTTTTCTATGTGAACTAGGAATTTCCACCAGTAGGAATGAACTTGCTTTCCTTTATGGCTTCAAATTAACTTCAAACCCACCAGGCTGCACTACCTGTTCTTAAGGCAGTTCTCGAGCTGTACATTTATTGCATATCAACCTGCCCTTGTTTCCTTGCTGGAGGTCTAACATCAGGTTTTATAGTGGGGGAAAAAAAGGCTCTAGCTATGCATTAAGTGATTTTATTTTTCTTCCAGGTTGGGCACTATAATATTTAGCATCTTTGTGTGTGTTGGGCAGGTAAGTGCAAAGGAGAGGGTGAAGGGTAATGTATCACCTTGAGTGCTGTGTCTACTTCTGGGTCCCTCACTTCATGAGAGATTTTCAGGGGATGGATCTGGAGAAGGGGCTGAAGCACAAGGAGAGTCTGGGGGAGCTCAGCCTGGAGAAACTGAGGCTCTGGGGGGACCTTCTCACTCTCTACAACTCCCTGACAGGAGGTGCAGCCAGGTGGGAATCAGGCTCTGCTCCCAGGGAATAAGGGACAGGGCAAGAGGAAGCAGCCTCAGGTTGCATCAGGGGAGGTTCAGGTTGGACATCAGGAGAATTTTCTCCATGGAAAGGACTGTCAGGCGTTGGAACTGCCCAGGGAGATGTTGGAGTCACCATCCCTGGAGATGTTCTGGGAATGACTTTGTGGCACTCAGTGCTCTGAGCTAGTTGACAAAGTGGTGATGGGTCACATGTTGGACTTGGTGGTCTTGAAGGTCTTTTCCAACCTCAGTGATCATTTGATTGTCTCTGCGGCTTCTCATGTGTTTCAAATGGGATTAAACAGGTGAGAACTGAAATGGGAGAGCCCTGAGTTGTACTGGGGGACTTGGGAACAGGTTGGGTGGCTGGGAACAGAGATCCTTGAAAGATGAGTGAAATAATGTGAAGCAACCAAATGTTTTACCTGTTGGGTGTGGAACTACCATGTAGGTGTATTTGGCAGGGTGTGATGATAAAGCTGAGGCATGAATTGAGCCTTAGAGGTGTTTCCTGAATGCAGTCACAGGGTGGGCCAGGTTGGATACTGTATAGCCTGCAGGATCAGAAGGCAGAGGGAGCAAAGGCAAAAAAGCAGGAGTAGGAAGTGGCTGTGAAATATTTCTACAGGTCTGCGAAGGGAGAGGCACTTTTGTTTCTGTTTTGAGCTGGTTCTAGTTTGTTGCATACTTGGAATATACAATTATAATGTCTCCTTAAATGTCTGTTTGACAGGTAATTTTTTCTCTGGGAGCACTGCTGAACACTTTCTGGCTGATGGAGGTGGGCAGATTCATATTTGGGTAAGTCTAGAAGAGCATCTTTGTGCTCTCTGAGATCAGGACCATCTTTGTGTCCTACCAAACTGCTGCTATATTCACACTGAGGCAAAACTGTTGGGTTTTGAGGCCTCTGTAAGGCATGAAAGATCTTCAGTTGTCTTCCTGATGTAACTTAGAAAACAAGAAATAGGACTTTGCAGTTCTTGCTGAATTCAAAAACTCTGAAACTACCAATTATTCTTAGGACACTGCATCTTTTCTTTGATCTTTGGCTTCACTTGCCTTGTATCTGTGCACTAAATCTACTTGTACATAGCTCAAGTTCCCTGACGTTCTGTCATCTTGGCCTTGCCATTACCTGATGGACATTGGTGCTTTGCTTCTTGCAATTTAAGTGTTTTCTTTTCCTCTTTTAGGATAGGTGGAGAGTCCCTGGCAGTGGCCCAGAACACATATGCAGTGAGTTGGTTCAAAGGCAAAGAGTTAAATCTGGTGTTTGGGTTACAGCTCAGCATGGCCAGAATTGTAAGTGTGAAACCACAGCTTTCATTTGTAGACTTTAAATTGTGTGACTTGTCTTGGTAGGGAGAAAAGTGGAAAACAGTATTTCTGGTGCTTCTCAGAGAATTTTAGTTATAAATGAACATGAGATTAGAAATGTTCAAGATTTGAGGGGAGGAGTCCAGAGGAGGCACCAAGATGATTAGAGGGATGGAGCATCTCTTCCTACAAGGAAAGGCTGAGAGAGTTGGGATTGTTCAGCCTGGAGAAGAGAAGCTTTGGGGTGAACTAACTGTAGCCTTCTAGGACCTGAAAGAGCTACAGGAAAGATGGAGAGAGACTATTTCCAAGGGCCTGGAGTGCTGGGACAAGAGGGAATGGCTTCCCACTGACAGAGGGCAGGGATAGATGGGATATTGGGACAGAATTATTCCTTATGAGAGTGCTGAGACACTGGCACAGGTTGCCCAGAGAAGTTGTGGCTGCCCCAACCCTGGGAGTGTTCCAGGCCAGGTTGGATGGGGCTTAGAGCAACCTGGGCTGGTGGGAGGTGTCCCTGCCCATGGCAGGGGGTGGAATATTTGATCTTTGAGGTCCTTCCAACCCAATCACTCTGTCATTCCATGTTTCTTTATATTTTGGTTAGTTAGAACTGTTTGCTTTAACATTAAATTCACCTCAGTTTATGTGCTAATGCAGTGCATGATGTGGGTTTTATGGCACTTCTAAACTCATGGAAACACTGTAACAGTCATATAACATTGATTTTTGTACTGGTATATTATTGCTGCACTGATTAATTTGTTCCAAACACTGACCAAAACAGCAGGGAATAATGTTACTGCTGTTACTGGTGATTTCCCTGTGCAGCATCTTACCTGTTTGTCTCCCATAACCTGATGTTCCTTTTGAATTCCTGGAGTTGTGCAATACATGATCCTTTACCTGAATCTGTTCTGCCTAGGGGAGCACAGTGAACATGAATATCATGGGATGGATATACTCAAGAGTTCAAGACCTTCTGGGGTACACTGGGCCCAGCACCCTTGGGTTAGCTCTCATGATAGGTCAGTAGTGTTTGAGATTGATGTCACCTGCTGTTTTGGGCTTCTGAATGTGAGCTTGATGTAAATGAAAGGAGGACAAATATATTTGAGCCTGAAAAGAGTAATTCAGATGCTGTTTGTATCCATGGTTGATTGATATCCTTGTGCAGGGATTATTGCAGCTAATAAAATGCTGTGGATTCTTGTGGTTGCCTAATTCAAGTTTGTGTCTTTTGTAGATGAAACAATTCACATGCTTTGAATAAAGGACAAAAAGTTTTCTGAAGGGTAGCAAAGCTTTGCTGTAGTTGTGTGATTGTGAAGTGAAATTTCAATGACTTTTTGGGGCTGTTCCTTTCCTCCAGAGCTGTGGGTATGAAGGTTCTGGTGATCTAATTGTGGGTTTCCAGTGCCTGCAGGGGCCTGCTAGATGGAGAGAGGCTATTCACAATGGCCTGGAGGGGCAGGATAAGGGGGAATGGCTTCATACTGACAGAGGGTGGAGTTAGATGGGATACTGGGAAGGATTCCTCCCTGTGAGGGTGCTGAGGCACTGGCATAGGTTGCCCAGAGAAGCTGTGGCTGCACAGCTTTGTTTCTGTTCCTATAAGGTATAGACAAGGAGTTTGTGCTGAATGGTGATAATGCTTTAAATAAAATCAATGTTGCTGCATGTTTGTATTCCAGTTCAAGGCAGATGTATGTCATGTTTCAGGCTTCAGTTTTACACCTTATTTTTGGAGCTGTGCAGCTGTTGAGCCATTACACAAGCTGGTGTTAAACCGTGTGCCTTTATCTGGCTAATAAAAACTACACAAATTGTGCTTAAAAGCCAAATTGCCACTCAAATTGTTGGCTAACCATGTGGCATTGCCTTCTTGCAGGTGGTGTGACATGTCTGTTCTCACTGACCTGTGCATTAGTCTTGGCTTACCTGGACAGGAGAGCAGAGAAACTGCTGTGTAAGGAGCAAGGGAAAACAGGTGAGTGGTGTGGCTGAACTGCCTTGGGCTTCATTCGCCTGGGACAGACCCAGTGACTGCACTGTGCAGGTTGGATTTTAGGGAATTCAGTGGCTGCTGCTTAACATCTTTTGGAGTAAGTCCAGAGGAGGCCACGAAGCTGATTAGAGGATTGAAGCATCTTCCCTACGAGGACAGGCTGAGAAAGTTGAACTGTTCAGCTTGAGCAAGAGAAGGTTGTGTGGAGACCTCAGAGCAACCTGCCAGGAGCTGAAGGGGCTCCAGGGAAGCTGCAGAGAGACTCTTGGTTAGGAACTGCAGGGACAGAGCAGGGAGTTATGGGGAGAAATTGAAAGGGGAAATTTAGATTAGATATCAGGAAGCAGTTTTCCCTGTGAGGGTGGTGAGACACTGGCACAGGTTGCCCAGGGAGGTTGTGACTGCCCCGAACCTGGCAGTGTTCAGAGCCAGGTTGGATAAAGACTTGAGCAACCTGTTCTGGTAGGAGGTGTCCCTGCCCATGGCAGGGGTTGGGGCTGGATGATCTCTGAGATCCATTCCAACCCCTTAATGTTCTGTGAATCTTCACAGTCATAATTTTTAGTTAATTTTTATCTCAGTAGGATTACAGCTTTAAACCCCAGTTTAACAGGCAGAAGCTCTTGTCATCTGCTGTGTTTATGAAGCATGTGGAGAGCTTCCCAGTTCACACCAATTTGATCCGTGCCATTTTCACTGGTTCTTTGTTTTGTTGGAGTTGAGCCAGTTATTGCCTTTAGTAGCTGTGTAAAAATATGGAGCTCTTTTCTAGCAGTGTCTGTGGTGCTTTGAGTTTTCCATGTGGGAGAATTTAGACCAGTTAAAAGTAAAATAAACTTGAGATCCAAAGAGGAACATCTTATAGAATCACAGAGTGGGTTGGAGGGACCTTAAAGCTCATCTCATTCTTCCTCCTGCCATGGGCAGAGACATCTTCTACTAGCCCATGTTGCTCCAATCCCCATCTAACCTATACAACACAAGGCTCCGGACAGGAATTTTCCAGCTGATTAAACATTCCCTTGACAAAGTGTGTTTAATTCTGCTGCTTAAGACTTTGAGAGGTTTTAGAGAAGTTGTACATCAGCCTCACATGGGAGAGACAGTTTGTTCTTGGCTTTGGCACTGTTGATTTAGCACTTAAGTGTTCTTAAGTGACTCTCAGTGTGTAAACTTCAACAAGACAGTGCCATGTAATTTAGGAGTGACTTGGGATTGCCTCAGTGTTTGTTCAGTGTGGATGAACTCCAGATTTGCTGTCTGAGACCATGTTGGCTCTTGCCCCACTGCAGGTGAAGTGATCAAACTCACTGATGTGAAGGACTTCTCCTTGTCCTTGTGGCTTATATTTGGCATCTGTGTCTGTTACTATGCTGCAGTTTTTCCTTTCATTGGACTTGGGAAGTAAGTGTCGCTTCTCCATCTGTTCCCCTTGAATTTAGCTCGATTTTTAACTAGCTCCTTAGATTTTATTTTCCTCTTTTCAGTTGACTTTAGTTCCCTCATGTGCTGATACCTGTGGGAAGTCGCATTGCTTGGCCTGGACTGAGTGGGCAGAACTCAAGAGGCTTGAGGGATGCTCCATTCCCTGATTAAAACTGGATACAGATTTAAGGCATTATGTTGGTTTTGGTGTGGAATTTGCTGTCATGGAAAATTGCTTCCAAAAGATAACCTAATGCCTCATTATTTGGGTTATACATTGTTTTCTCCCAAGTGTAATTTGGGTAGTCCTTAGATAAAAATGTGTAGAGTGTGATAATAAGCTCTAAATTAATTATAAATCAGTCTGTGTTGGGATATTTATGTCCAAGTTACATTTAAGTTTGTTATAAACTCAATTCATGTATCTTTGTATAGCTTAATTGTAATTTCATGTCCTACAAATGTGCATTTTCCTAAATACTCACTTTTTCCTCCCTTTAGGGTTTTCTTTATTGAGAAATTCAGGTTCTCCCCCCAGGAAGCAAGTGCAATTAACAGGTATATTGTGATTGATTTAACAAGTCACACTGCCATGTTCTAGAGGTGCAGGTTGTACCTTTGGGCTCTGAGCAGTGGGAGGAGGTTTGGGATCTGCTGTTGGAGGTGTTGACTTGTATTTAGTGGATAAATAGGTTTCATATGGTCCAAGGAATAACTAGGAGGTGTGGTAAAACCCCCAAACAAATAAAACCTAACACAAACCAGTTGTTACTCTATGACTTCAAGAGTATGCCACTGTTTCCTTGGATATTAAGTGATTTCATGTCCTCAAACCTTTTGGGAATTCGGAATTCCTGAGTTTGTTGTTTGGTATGTTTTTTTGGTGTGTTTTTATCTCCAGCCTCACATATAACAAGGGATTATGGTGTTTCCTCTGGAGACACTTGTACCATCTACCACCTAAAACTTTCCATGCCCAGATAATGTTCAGCTCTCTTATTTCTGTTCCTTTGTAGCATTGTGTACATCATCTCAGCCCCCATGTCCCCTGTCTTTGGCCTTCTGGTGGATAAGCTTGGAAAGAATATCATCTGGGTCTTATGTGCTGTGGTAACCACACTTGCTTCTCATATCATGTTGGCTTTTACATTCTGGAACCCCTGGATAGCAATGGTAATTGAGCTAAATTAGCTCCATTTTAGCTAGTAACATAAATATAGCTAAATAGCATAAAACAAGCAGTGGAGTTGATGGGGAATTATTCTGTGTTTGAGGTGGAAAACACTCCTTACTCTATTACTAGATTATTGTGCTCACTTTTCACCTAAAGCTTGTCCTTTTAGCCTGTTTCAAGAGCTTACTACTATTACTTAAACTGTCTCTGATGTCCTGTGTTGGACCTGGTAAACCTCAATAAAGTCTTTTGTTATTGATTTCCCCTTCTTAGGGTAAATACCTTGAGAAATTGCTTTGGAACTAAGGTTTTTAGTGCTCACCAGTGTGTCAGGGTTTATACCTTGGTTTTCAGGTGTTTTTCTAGTTGTAGCATTGATCTTTTCCTCTGGAGGTTCAAGTCAGGCTCTTTAATGCTAATTACTAGAGTTTAACATGTGGGTCACTCCTGGAAGAGAAAGGGAAACCCAATATATTAATTTGCTAGAACTTCACAGCAGAAATACATCTGACATCTCTTTGCTTGTTCTTATGTCACCAGTGTCTGCTAGGAATTGCCTACTCCCTGCTGGCCTGTGCCCTATGGCCCATGGTGGCTTTTGTTGTCCCAGAGCACCAGCTGGGAACTGCTTATGGCTTGTAAGTACTTCAGTCTGTCTGGCTGTGCTGCTTGACCTGTTGGAATGAGTCCAGAGGAAGCACCAAGATGGTTAGAGGGATGGAGCAGCTCTGCTGGGAGGAAAGGCTGAGAGAGTTGGGTTGTTCAGCCTGCAGAAGAGAAGCTTTGGGGTGAACTAATTGTGGCCTTCCAGTACTTGAAGGAGCTACAGGAAAGATGGAGAGAGACTAGTTACAAGGGCCTGGAGTGATAGGACAAGGGGGAATGGCTTCACACTGCCTTAGGGGAGAGCCAGATGGGATATTGGGAAGGAATTCTTGGCTGTGAGGATGGTGAGGCACTGGCATAGGTTGCCCAGAGAAGCTGTGGCTGCTCCATCCCTGGAAGTGTTCCAGGCCAGGTTGATGAGGCTTGGAGCAACCTGGGCTAGTGGAAGGTGTCTCTGCCCATGGCAGGGAGTGGCACTGAATGATCTTGAAGGTCCTTCCTACCCAAACCAGTCTGTGATTCTCTCCAGTGACCATGTCCTGGTACTACTGAACCACTGACTATCAAATTCTGACACATTAGTGGTTCCTCATCCCTCCAGGTTTGCTGTAGCAGGAAGTCCTGTGCAGTCTCAGGATGTGGCTGAGTGCTGGAGCATGTGACTCTGGTAGCTGCAAAGAAACTTCTGCCAAAGTGTGGAGTCAGGAATTTCATATCTCATAACAAATAGGAAGAAGTTAATCTCATTGTTAGCTCAGCACCACTAATGACTTTTTAATGAAAATTATCAGTATGTACCCAGTGTTAATCCATTTTGGTCTGTTTTAGCATGCAGTCCATCCAGAACCTTGGCCTGGCAGTTATTGCTATAGCAGCTGGGATGATTCTGGACACAAGAGGATACTTATTTCTTGAAGTTTTCTTCAGTGCTTGTGTTTGCTGTAAGTATTAAGCACACTAAAAATGGATTCTGTGGATTAAGAAAGCTTTATTAGGCTTTTTTTTCCCCTTAATATTTCCTGTAAAACAGTAATAACTCCTTTCTTAGAGGATTCAACTGGGGCAACATTGAAAGTAACTCAAACCTAGTGAATGTTTTGTGGTTTTCCTGAGGTGACTTAGTGTAAATAGTTATAACTGTCATCAAAAATCGTAGTTGTTGCTTGGTTATAGGTTAAACCTGTTCCTCTGTTGTTGTTCTTGTTAGCTAAAGCTGTTCCTTTCTGTTTCAGTGTCCCTGATAGCTGTGGTCATGCTGTACTTTGTGAATCACCTCACAGGTGAGTGTTTTCAGCTGCTCTTGGTGTTGGTTTTTATCACAATTGAAGTTCTCAAGGGTATTTGTCCTCTCAGCTGACCTGGACAGATGTGGAGAATATTCTGCAGCTCTTTCTAAACTCCTTATCACACTGGACTGTACATGAATATGTGAATATAAAACCTTAACTCTGTAGCCTTTCCTTACTTTGGGTCCTGGCTTAGCTTAGCTTGCTCAGGGGATTGTGACCATGTTGCTCTTTCTCTTTTCCTCTATTTCTAAAACAACTTCACTGATTTCTTTCCCCAAGTGCTCTGAAAACTCCTCTAGTGACTTTTCTTAGCAAAGCCACAAACCAGACCAGTTTGAACAGCTTCAGTGTGCATATTACTTGTGTTGCAGGTGGAGATCTCAACTGGTCTGCAAAGAAAAGGGAAAAACTGCAGAAAGCAGCTGCATCTGAGTAAGTATAAACCCAATAAATATCCATGTCCTGATGAAATATCTAACCTGAAAGGAATGAAGCAGATGAGTGTCTGAAGTCAAGCTCTTTTATACAGTGTTTTCTTTCTTACCAGCCAGTAGCATTTCATATTCCTCCTGTGAATCAACATTTAGAGCTGCTAGGAATTAACCAGGTGTCCTTTCCTGGCACTTTTCCTTCATTTCAATGGCCTTCCAAGTGAAATGTGTTTATAAACATGTTGTATTGCTTATTTCAACCTGTGCTTCATCGATGTGGTGTGTACCTGAGTCAGGCAGCAAACATTACCTGTCAGTAATGCAGGGACCAAGTTTTGAAGTGTAATTAGAAGCTTCTTTAGAAGCAATTACATTCCAGTCACTTCTCTTTCAGCTTGCTCCTCTTGCTGTCTGATTTAGAAGTGTTAATTCACCTTGTCTCTGAAAACTATGGGCTGAGTGTGAATTGCAGCACTAATGAAAGTCACTTTGGGAACAGATCTGTCATAAATATTACTTATCACAGTGAAAAGTTTCTATTTTCAAGGGGGAAATGGGGCAGAGTATTTTAACAAAGTGAAATCCACTTCCTTTACAAGGAGATGGAGCACTTGAGGTGGGATTTGGGCAGGAATTATTGTAATAAGGGAGTTTTGGCAGTTCAGAGAGTGATGGAATGGTTTGTTTTGGAAGGACCTTAAAGTTACCTCATTCCAACCCTGCCATGGGCAGGAACACCTTCCATAGAGCAGATTGATTCATCCAATTAAGCCAGTTCTATTCTGTGGGAGATTTGTATGTCCTGCTTTTATCCCTACAGAAAATAGGGACAGTGACACTCTTCAGAATAGAATTGTCAATTAAAACCCGTCCAACCTTTTCATTATCTACTTGACTGTCTAGAAAAATAGCTTTTAAAGCAGTCACAGTGTAGAGTCTGTCCATGAGACTGAATTTGGGCAGATTAGTTTGTCCTTATGACCTTGTTTGAAGATGCTTCTAGGACTGTCTCAGCACCCAAAAACTGTGTTACCTTTTCCTAGTTCTAGTTAGTCCAATGAGAATTAAAAATACATAATGTCAATGAAGATGAAGTCTTGATTAATTGATTTTGTAAAGTATATTTAAAGCAAACATTTGATTTCCTTAAGTAAATGTGTTCTATGAGTCTAGACTTGGTTTAATATGTCATGTGAAAGAGTAAGTCATGTCACAACTTCCCAGCTCACAGCTGTACAATTCCAGCTGCTTGTGTGTGAAGGACATTGGGTTTTCCTTTTCAAATGCTTTGTGTTTTGCCCCAATTCAGCTCAGCAGGTCTCACATCTTGAAGCTCATTTGGCTTTAATGTTGTTGGGATTATTGGCTTTTTTAATAGGTAACTGTGTCTCACCTATGTTTGTTCCACATAAATACTTTGCTGACAAGACATTCCTTATCAGTGGATTTGTGGACTGAGTAACTGTCCATGTGGTGATACTTAATCCCCAAAATACCTATGAGCAAGGTCTAACCAAGTGACTTGTGAGGTTTAACATGGTTTCTTGTTCTTTCCACACCTCAGTTTGAGGAAAGCTCAAGCAAACTAAACCCTGGTGATCTGATTGGCTTAGTTACGATGAGTCTCATCCTCAAACCAAAAGCTCAAGCCAATTTTTAATACAAATGCAACAACGCCCCAAAAAACCCCCTTGGAATTCTGTGTCCAGAGCTGCTTTTTCACCTGCCTGAGATGTGTGTAAGAGTTCCAGTGTCTCCTGTGTGTGCTGTGGGTTATTTAGTGCCTCAGCATTGTCAGTAATTTTTATCACAATGTTTTTTGCAGAAAAGAAAGTTGACTAGCAAATTCCACCCAGAAGTGAGGAACAGTTGAGGAGCACCATGGCACCTGGAAGAATGCTAGTGTTTAGGTTGCTCTCTGCACAGTAGTTCTTTGGAAGAAAAACTAACATCCTGGGGAGGGTGACAGGAAAAGGCTCAATGTTCTGCTTTGTAACTGGTTTTAACTCATGCCAAATCACCTCTTCATTGGAACTGAGTGGGTTTTTGTGGCCTTTTGCACTGTGTTTAAGCGCTGCCAGCTGAGACAAGCACATTCAACTTCAGATAAGGTCTGATATGAAGTGTCTGATGTGCTGCACATGTTGGTGGGGTGGAGATTCTTCATTAAATGGCATTTCTATTCTGTGATAAAGCTCACCCAGAGCTTAGAAACAGGTCACTTGCTGCTTTTGTCACTGTCTTAATGCAAACCACTGTCTTAAATGTATTCACAGCTTCCTTTGGGTCTGGTTCTCTTTCACACATGGAGAAAGAGCTACAAATGCTCTGGTCAAACTGAGTTTTCTGTAGGAGACTTATGAACTCTGCAGACTGCTGAGCAGTCTTTTATTGCCTTCTTGACCATCGAGTCTATTTGTATTGTAATCTTGTTTTTAAAGGGTTGAGAGCTTATTTCATAGTCAGTAAAAGTTGTTCCAGGAGCTCACTGATCATGTTGTAATGGGTGAAAACCCAAAAGGTTTCTCTTTCTACTGCAATCTGAATAAAAGGAAACTGCAGAAAACAGCCTCTCTCTTTCTTTACACTCAATTACTTAACCATACACAGCTCAGTGTCACTTAACCTGATAATCAAGATTCATCCATAAGCATTTTTTAGGTATTGGAAAGAAAACTACAATCACCAGAGCAAGTTGTTGGCTTTGACCTCTTCAGGGCAAAGATCTGAAACCAATTTTCTTTTACAGAGCAGAAGAACAGGAGAGACTCAGACGTCAGAATGAAGATGACTTGGCTAAATTACTGCCCAAAGCTGATGACTTTAGTTTAAGGAATAAATACCTCTCCAAACTAGGAGCTCAGGTATTAGTAGCACAGTAAGGGGTTTAATAACTGAGAGTAGAACTATGAGATCTTTATTTTAAGAGCTTGGATGTTGATTTGAATCCCCAACAAATCAACCTGAGATGCTCCATGCATGTTGCTGCTCAGAAATAGCCTCACACTGGTCATTAACAGCCTAATGAAGGAGCTGAATCAGTGGCTGGTGAACCCACTAATCTGAGGAGCAACTTCTTATGATGCATGATGTCTTCATTTTATTTCTTTGCAGCTGCCAGCTAGTTACTGTCCCTATTTATCAACACTGGCACACAGGAGTGTGTTGAAATAGCCTCTTGGCCCTCTTGAATACCTTGACTTTCCTGGGATATGTTTCCAGTGCTGACAAGGATGATGCACCTTTGCTGCAAGCATAGATCCTAGTCTTAAAGTACTTGGTTTAAACTCCTCCTTCGCTGTGGGTAATTAACACAGAGACTGATGAAGAACCATGTGGCTCTTTGTTGCAACCCCTGAGTACTTCACCCTCCTGTCTCAAATGCTCTGTGAGTAGCTGAGTCAGTAGCCAAGACTTGATCTCTTTCTTGTGTTAGATGTGACAATAATCCAATCACTGAGCCTTGCTGGAGGTGTGAGTTGTTTAGCCTCTCACCTTGGAAAACTTTGTCTCTGTTGGGAATGCTCTTGTTTAATTTCTCTCAGAGAAAAAGATGAGGAAAGGCTCCCAAGGGGATATTCCAGAGGAAACTACAATCCAGTGTTAGAGTTCAGTAAGTGCTAGGCCTGGAATTCACACTGGGTCAATAGCTTAGCAATAACCTCATGCAAGTCCTGAATAATGAGAAAATGGATGTATTTTTAGGAAGTTGTAACTAAAAACTGTGAAAAGAGTTCAATGCAAGAAGTGTATTCGGGGTTAGTGGGGAAAGTTCAATTTCATAGTGATAACTTTCCCCATCATTTCAATGTAAGTGGATAGGGGGTTCCTAGGAACAACTCCAGAGTGCATTTTCCTTGGGTTTAATTATTCATCAAGGTAATTGGACAAACTATTCCTAAACTAAGCTGATCTTGCTTGTAAAAACAAGAGCGTGTGGCTTCTTGGTTGCACTAGGAACAGCAAGGAGCTGCTGTACAGGACAAGGTGCACAGGGGTAAATGTTCCTTGGCTGACTTCTTGTGTGCCACAAGATGCTCAAGAGCCTTTGGCAAAACATTCGACTGCAGAGAAAGTAGTTTGTTATAATTAAAATACTATGACGTGTAATATGTATTTTGTGCCTGCAATAATATAAGTAAACCTGAAACTCATGGTCTTAAGGTTTGTTTTAAAAGACTTTTCAGTGGAGATTTCTTCATCGTCCTGGAAAACTAAGATCATGTACCTGAGAGACTTCCAGGAGTATTTTGGTTGATGTTTCTGGATTCTGAAGGACAATCTAGGAAGATTAAGCAGCAGGTTGTGAACTTGCTGCCCTGACCTGTGCTGGTTTTGCCTGGTGCTTTCTCTGCTCCTTCTGAGAACTCAACACTAACAGCTATGAGATGAGTTGGTGCAAGTTGGGTTCTGTTTCCTTGTAGATTTGTGAATTCTGGGTATTTTTGAATAAAAACTGTAAACAGACACTGGTACTTGTCTTTTTCTTGCCTGTTCAGTGATGTGTTGTTGCCTTTGGTGGTTGGTGAGACCCACAGAGATACTTATTTAAGTAAACACAACTTCTGCTGCCCCTGAGGAGTCTGGAGAAGTTTGAGGGAAGTGTGTCTGTCTTTGAGGAGCCAAAGTTCCTCCAGTTCCCCCATCAATGGATTGATACATTTGTCTTTCTTGGGGAGGAAATTAGGTTATTGTTCCTCTGTTGCTCTTCATGTCCTTCATCTCCTGCTTCTCCTCTAATTCTGCCACAAACTCCTCTGCTGTCCCCTGGAGGTTGGTGTTTTGTGTGTGACATAACTAACCCCGAACTGAATGTGTAATTGAGCTTTGTTTTCAGTTCCTCAATTCTCTGTACCCTTGAGGATCCTTCTGAAGTCCTGGGGTGGATTCTGCAAATGGAGTAACTTCCAAACCCTCTCCAGGCATGATCTGAGGATGGAAAAGGGGCTTAGCCCTCATTAGGTAGTGATGTAAATACCTTAAATAGCTCAAAATCAGCAACTTA